GACAGGGGATAATTATGTAAAAGGGTACGTACAATGTCATGGTACCAACGGTTTTCCAGTGCGGTATCATACAAGATATTTTCCGGCAATAGTTTTGCCGACGTAAAACACATAAAATAACTTAAACATAAAAAGGCGCTCGTGAAACCATTCTGAGATGGAAGGTAATTGGTAACCTCCGACAGGGGATAATGATGTAAAAGGGTACGTACAATGTCATGGTACCAACGGTTTTCCAGTGCGGAATCATACAAGATATTTTCCGGCAATAGTTTTGCCAACGTAAAACACATAAGATAATTGAAACATACAAAGGCGCTCGTGAAATTATTGGTAAATGAAAGGTATTTATTAAGCTTTGATGACTGATATTTATGTAAAAATATACGTAGAATCTTATGGTACCGATAGTTTTCGTGTGCGGTGTGAAATTGGTATGTTCCAGTATTGTTTTTATAAAAAACATAAACTAATATAAACATAAAAAAGCGCTCGTGAAATTATTAGTAAATGAAAGGTATTTACTAAGTTTTGAAGACTGATATTAATGTAAAAATGAACCTAGAATCTCATGGTACCAATAGTTTTCGTGTGCGGTGTGAAATTGGTACTTTCCAGTATTTTTTTTATAGAAATATATAAAATAATTGAAACATACAAAGGCGCTCGTGAAATTATTAGTAAATGAAAGGTATTTATTAAGCTTTGATGACTCTTTTACCCATGTAATAAGAGAAAGAAATGGAATGCATAGGTTCTTTAGCTTTGGGTTCATCTAATAAGTGAAGTTTTTCGAATCGTTTTCTAAGAATTTTGGATTATACGCATTTATTAGCACATCACAATATCTTGTAGTTTTCAGGTTTACACACCTGGTGTATATCAATTCGATATTGTTTTGCTAGATCATGGACCATGGCATTGAAGTCGGAAAACAATATCGATCCAATATTTTAGATTAGCTATTTCCAAGGAGTTTAAAATGTTTTGGGCTCTCTTCAGTTAAAGAATTAAAAGGCATTCATAGAATGTCTCTTCGTCCCTATTTTAAGCTTCTAATACCTTCAATGGCCAATGTGAGCAACTTTAATTCATGATTTCATATAATGTTTGATCGGTGATACTACCAAAACTTTTAACGACAAAAATGTATTTGGCATTTTACAAATAGAAAATACGTTTGGTAAAGTATTTTAAATAAAATACAAAATGTTTTTCTCAAAAAGTATTTAAATGTAATAATGTATTTTGCATTTTACAAATAGAAAATACGTTTGGTAAAGTATTTTAAATAAGATACAAAATGTTTTTCTCAAAAAGTATTTAAATGTAATATCAAAATAGGTATTTTTTTAAATGCAGGTATTTCAAATAAATCACATCTCGGATATTTATGCACTAAGCCAAAAACCGCCTTTCTTAACGATATGAGTAGAAAATTGTTATACTCAGGGTGTTAAGGATTATAGTCACACATGTCTGTATATTATACCCTGTATATTTTCTATGAACGAGTTTGTGAGGTAACCCTGAGTGGGGTGATTGGGATATACAAGGTTCATCGATTTTTGTATGCCATCTTGACGGTGGTTTTTTACCTGTGCAACACGCATCGTGTTGGCATTCTTTTCGAGACACACATACATACACTCC